ATTTCGTGAAGATCGGGTCATAATTGCGACCTGTAGAGTGATTACAAATTAACATGGACAGACGGACGGACGGACATACATAGCTAGATCGACTCAGCTCGGCGAGCTAGGAAGATCCATATATACTTTCCTATATGGGAAACCAATATTTCGAGGTGTTACATAAATTCTGGCCCAATCAAACTTATAATACCCCCAACACATAGTGTTGTAGGGTATAAAAATAAAACGGAAATAGAATCTTTAGGCTTTTAAAAATTTAATTTTTTCTTCCAATTTGATATTTAGGTCCCAAAGGGCGTTATATACAATCCGAAACAATCATATTCGGTGCAAGATATCCGATGCAGTCTTGAAATACATTTGCCAAATATTGTCGAGATCGGCTCAGATCCACTCCCATATATCTATATATATAAATGTAAGTTGTGTTAGTTACTACGCTTATAACTCAAGATCCGCTGATCCGATTTTAACGATTCATACAAATTCGGAATTGTCTCTTTTCCGAAAAGGATAATATTCAAAAAAATCGCGTAAAAATGTGTTATATTAACATTTTCATTTTGACTTTTGAAATGTACAATAGTAATGTTTTATTTTGCATGATTTTTTTCCATTTTGACTTACTTTTTTGTAATGTACATTTGTAGTGTTTTTTTTTATATATTTTTTTAATTCGAATATTAATACCAATTTATTTAATTGACTTGATTTCTTGAGAACTGAAATTGATGGCGAGTTGCATGGAAGTCAGTCAAATGATATCGAAATAACTTAACGCGGTTAGACCAATGTTAAAAGATAATTACTTTTTCAAAATCGCTAAAAAACACGATAAAAGAGATCTCATGGCAAAAATTCTCAAATCGGGAAAAATCGAAAAAAAAAATTCAATGGAAATTGACTAGATATGGAAATAATCCATCCAATGAGATCTTAAAATGCTAAATTCATTGGGACTGCAACCAGTGAATTACCGAATATGAAGAGCACTGTTATATGCAAACTATATAAAATAGTGGAGCAAATTGAAAATTTGGAAAGAAAAGGATACATTTCCTTGGAAAATTCTTCCGAAACCTTACAAGTAACCTTAACTCCCATGAAACGTTATACGGTGACTATGCGCTATCATCAGTAGTCAGTTTGGTTGGTAATTAAAAATCCCAAAAAAAAGGGGGGGGGGGGTCGATCAAACGTTTTTAGGGTCCATTTTATATAGTTTAACCAAACACAAAGGGCCTCAAATATTTTGCTCTATACTTCGCAAAAGTTACCATAGAGTTTTAAATTTTTCCTAGGGGTTTCATGAATAATCAGTTGTTCAAAATATATATCAGATGTATATCAAATGTTGGTAATTTGAGATTTTAAGAAGAACAAAACATTTTTTCTAATAATTATAAGAATAGGACCATGCTTTGGTATAACCCTTATAAGTGGACCTATTTCTTTCATATTACAATAATCCGCCCAATGAGAACTCAAAATGCAATTCATTGGAATTGCAATCAGTGAAATACTGAATATAAAGGGTGCAAAATGGTAGAGAATTGAATTGGACATTTAGGAAAAAAAACTTTCAAGATATCTTAAATCGCTTTTGCAGGTCACGATATATGACCCCCGGATAAGGGTACACTCCTTTTTCAAGTATAGTTTACATTTTAACCATATTTTACTCATACGCATTTTAGCAAAAGTTGGTAATTTGAGAAGAAACCATCCTCGCAAAAAATGATCACGTTTGGGTATAACCATTATATAATTTAAGCTATATTCGGGGTTTTCGACATTTTTCTTTCATTTTTCAGGCCTTTATTTGGCATTTTTGTTTCTACGGGTGTAAAAAACCTCTTCTCATAATATTTTGACTTTTGGAGTAGAGTCCATCTTGGTCTTGATCACATTCATCAATTGATTTGGCTATTTGTATTTAGGCTACTCTGGGATAGAGAATCGTCTTACAGATAATTGTCCACATAGGCATTTTTTGAGTATAGTTCCCACATTAGTGTACCCGCAAATCCACATTCCTAACCAATGTTTGGTCAGAAAAAAAAATTTGGTATACTATTGAATTTTTAACTCTGAAGAGAATATTGACTGGGAACGTAGATGTGGGATGTACGTCTACATGCTTTGAACTCCGAAATATCAAATTGTGGCAGAAACATGAAAAAATCACGAATATTATTTTTTGGATCGTTATTGAATTATACTATGAAGAAAAATATGGACTTTATGGGTTTTCCAACACACAATTTAAATGACAAAAATAAATTAATTCCTATCTTACGGTAATGGGTGTAAAAGACCAATTATCTTTGACTATTTTGAAATCATTCAGATCAGTGTTCTATAATGCTTTAAAAAATATGCATTAAAAACTAAAAGTAGGGGCCGGCAACGCGGACCGGGCCAGCTAGTATTTCATAAATGGAAACGGAAACCTTAGTTCGTTTGTCAAATCAGGTTGAATTTTGAGTCAAATCAGTTACGTATATAGAGCACAGTTATATTTTTGACTCAAGTTTATATGCATTCTGATATTTGGCAAATTTGACAAATTTTCATCCAATTTAGTAGAAATCGATTGATATTTAGATATAGCTCCAATTATAAAGCTGTAATAGGCATTCAATAACGATCATAGTTGGTACTTTACTGGTGGACTTACTTCTGAGCCGTGTTATACTGAAAATTATGAAATATATGCGATTCTGGGCAATTCTGGGATTGAAGACCACTAATTGAAAACAGAATTAGAATTCATTAACTGTGTATGAAAACACACCAACTATACTATTAATAACAATTATATGCACAAGCCGAAATAGGACATATTCGCGAAATCCTATTCATGCCTTTTAAAAGACATAAATATCTTAGTATGTGTATTAATTTGTGTTTCCGTAATTTTAATTTGGCAAATCATATCAAATTTCGTTACACATTATAAATTTGAAGACCGTTCAATAAATATGTGCATACTAAATCTCATTTTTTGAAGGCATATCCAATTCTAAAGCTACATCTCCAATTCCAAGTGGAATTTTAAAAATGTATATAGGCTATGTTACTTTCAGGAGATGCTGCAGTACATTGGCAAATTTAAATTAAAATTTGCAGGAAAATCAGTTTAGCGGTTTTTGGTTTTATAAATTACAAGGAAACAATCAAATCCCCTTTCCAGATCGAGATATCCAGCAATACTTCCTTCCATTTGCTAATAAAATTGATTAGTCAAATACATTTTGAATATTACGTCCCTACCCAGTAAAACCGTGGGAGTGGTATGGGCAAAGCAATCCATTACAGTGTAATGTAAGCAAAGTAACTTTCGAAAAAAAAATTGGGTTATTTCTTAAAAAAAAATGAAAAAAATTGGGTTATTTCTTAAAAAAACGAAGTAAAAGAACTTATTTTCCTCCTTACCAAGTTATGAGTAACGTCGGCACAGAGTGTGCCGACAAAGACTTGATGAATATTTAAGACTTTACGACTCTATGTACATACATAAAGCATTTTGGTTGTATGAAATTTAAACAATTGCATTAGGAAATATAGACATACCTGAATTGGGAAGGACAATGTAGGGCATTGTGAAGGGTATGATAAAATATATAATCTTTCCTACGTATTTCGGGTGAGATGTCTTTGTAAAAATAACGGATTAGAGGGTTGATTTGTAACTTGTTTCGAATGCCTAAAGGCGGTTGGAGAACTTATTATGTGGTAATGGAAGGTTTTGCTGGGCAGTAACGTTTGATAACAATTGCTATCAAATACCAACGAAATTTACAGACCTACGATATCGCAATTCAAACGTTTTATATAAAAGTTTTTCGATCATGCATCACCAAAGAGTCCAAACACTTTGGTGATATGTCGTTTTTAACACTTTGTTGTTCATTTCAGTTTTGGGGTTTCTTCTACAGCGTGCAGGAGCGTTGTGGCCCCAGTGTAGGTTGTGCTCTTTCACAGAGCATGTCGGGTATCATGTGGAGCTAGGCATGTGGCAAAACTGCACAATACAACGACGAGCACAACGACGACAACAACGACAACAACAGCAACAACGTCCACAATGACAACATCAACTGAACTAAATCTGTAGTTGCAAAATGTTGTGCTGTCGCCTGGAGCCATAAAAACTTTTTTGCCTTGATTGAAAAACTTCAAAAAGTATGAGTGTGTCTATGGCTGTGTGTGAGTTGGAGTGCGAGTGTGTTTGTGTGTATGCAGATATATAGGAGTGGTGGATAAGGAAGACGACCGCTGTTGCCCTCCATTGTCCCGAAATACTGTGGGGGCGTCTGCAAATGGAGTGGGGAAACCTCAATTCATTTGCTTTTCATTGTGGCCTTAAGTTTTAAATATGTATGGCAGAAATTTTAAGAATTTATACAGCATAACTACGGGCTGTTTATTGAATGTGTATGTGTGCGTATGCCGACATATACGTGTGAGAGTATTCGTCTGAGGGAGAAGTTGTAATTGCTTGAGATCCTGGTGAAAAGTGATGGCAATGTGGATGCTTGGCAAATGCAGGATTGAATCGAATACTTGAGTCAGCTGTTGATAGCGTCATATTTTGTTAAAATGTGGTTAAATGTTTTGCTGTTATGACAAATAGCGCCCCGAAAGGACTCGTTCTATGTTCTACACATCGTATTAATTTTTGAAATTTAACTTTTGAACGCTCACTGTGTATTCTGCTATAAAAATATTCAATTAGACAGCATTTAGGTAGCGGCAAAAACAACAACCAATGATTGTTGGAGTGGCTTTTTGTTGTTTCAACTTTGCCGTGTGCCCACATTGACGCTGCCGACTGTGGTTCTGTGGTGCCAACTACCTAGCTAAAGTTTTAATTCAATCAACGCGCTGCTGACATTTTGCAAATAAGATTGTGTCGGCTTGGTCCCGCCATTGTTATGGCTGACGCAGCTCGTTAGCTTCTATCGCAGAATATGTTTGATGGCTTCACTCACCTTTGCGTCGCCGTATTCCTTTGTTATGTTTTTTTTTCGACAACGTCTGTTCCAGGGCCTCACTCTCTCGCTTTAAATGTTCAAATTCAAATCCTTCAGTTGCATTAGAAAAAACCGAAACTTAATTGCTTCTAAATTTCGGTGATGAATCGCAAAACTTTTTCTGTCACATGTGATTAAATATTTGCATAATTGAATCGCTGTGATCCTGTGTGATGTGCGGCCGTTGCAGCTCAGCTTAGCTCGATAGTGGTTCAGCTGATGTTGTTCCTATTTTTTATACTTTTTTGATTTGCTCTAATTAAAATTAATGTCGCTGTCGCTGACGGCGCTGGCGTAGATAATGGGGGTAGATGAGCTCCGCTCTACATTCACATTGTGCAGAGTATTGGTGGTAAACTATATCGACACTGCTGTCAACGTTGACGTTGATATTTCCATTTGCATTTATTGTTGAAATTAATAATGCATAATTTTTTTGCGGTCGTTGCTTTGCCGGGGTGAGAATGACCGAGTTTTAAGGTTAGATATGATTTGGTTTTGTTGTATCTTTGCTGTAATTAAATTTGCAGTGACATTTATTTGTAGACAATTGAAATCTATTTTTATATCCGATTGTTTGCATTTGGTTTGGCCAGACAGGCAGCTATGATGAGCCGGGCAATTTGTATCTTTGACATCAAAGTTCTGGTTCAGACAACCCTGATGACAGTCATCATAAATTTTGAATGTCGCTCTCTGCAATGAAGAGGGAAAGAAAACAGCTTTAGTTATTTATAAATTGATTTAATTAGCGAATTAGTTATTTTGTTGTCTTTGATGACTAATTTAAATTAATCATTTTTTTAGCCATTAGATTTTTCATTTAAATGGAAATGTTATCAAACAATCTATTGTTATTCAGGACAACTTGAATCAATACCTGCCAAGAGTATATGAGTGTGTAATTAATCATTATGAATTCGTCATACTGCAAACGAGCGTTTAGCTTTTTTAAAGTATCTTGGAAATTACAACCACTTTTTTCACATTTCGCACAAACAATGATGTGAACATTAAACAACGTATTTGGCAGCTGCCCTTTCATTAATATTCGATTTTTTCTCCGAATTTCAAATCAGTAGTAGGATTCTCAAATAATTTTTTGAGTTACCGACAGAAATCGGTAAAATTAATATTCTTATATTTTCGGCAATTAACGAAAATGTTTGCAAAGTTAACGACCAAATAAGTAGTCACTAAGTCACTAATAGGAACAGTGCTTTTCATTCATACCGATATCTATCCGTAATTCAACAAATAAGTTAGAAAATCCCACTACATATATAGTATGCATATAAAATTTTGAGCAACACATAGCCAACATTTTTTTTCTACAAATTCACACACTATTTAATGAAACTTCAAGGCTGATTTTCATATTTTACGTATACAGGGTGAAATGGAAAAATCGCAACCAATTTCAGACTGCTGTCATTTCTAAGCCACTCGTCCGACAGCTGTTAAAATTATTCCAGTGACAGCTCATTATATTGTTTACAAGTGTACAAGAGCATTTTGGTGAGAATTTTCCAGAAAAAAAAAAAAAGAAATTCGTGATGGAATTCAAGCGTGATAGTGTGCTTTCTTTATATTTGGCTGGAAAACCCTAAGTGGCTATCGTTAGAGCACTCCACCATTTAAATAGGAATAAATATTTTGTGTCTAGTACCAGCGCTCGTTACCGTGATACTGTTATTTAAAGAAGTGGACGGAAGAAAACAGCAACATCAGCAGAAATCAGCAGATTCGTAAAGTAAAGCAACGACTTGATCGAAACCTGCGTCGCAGTGGCCGAAAATGGCTCGTGAGTTGAACACAGCGCAATATTCCATTCGGCAAATATTGAAAAATGAGCTCGGGGTAAAGCCATTGAAATTCCAAAAAGTGCAAGAACTTACACCGCAACAGAAAGAATATATACTCATAAGAGCAAAAGAGTTGCTTCGCATGGCCGAAAATGGTGAACTGCCGAATTTGGTTTCCTCCGATGAGAAAACATTCGGTGCCCAGCAGTTTGTAAACAAAGAAAATGATCGTGTTTCTTGCCAAAGAGGTCAGCTGAAAATGTTCACCTTCGCTTAGCTGCCAGAACTCAAGCAACGGCCATGGTGATGGTGTGAGCCATCAAAATAGCCGATGGTCGCTATCCGTTCGTATTAATCGACCGTCGCATTATAAATTCCGAATATTGTCGCGAAAATAATCTGGAGAGACAACAGGACTCAGCAGCATCACACTAAACACGCGCTTCTCAAAAAGAATTTTTCGCTTCATTTCCAACGCACAATGGCCACCAAAATCTCCGAATGTCAATCCGTTGGATTATTATTGTGTCTGGAGTATTTTGGTAAGTAAGGTTGGCACAAAAAAATACCAAAGTGTCGATCACCTCAAGCAGGGGCTTCGCCGGGAATGGACCAAAATACCGCTGAGCAACATTCGGACAGCGTGTGACGGTTTTATTGGCCGTTTGAAGGTCATAATTTGTGCCAAAGGGACCAGTTCGAACAAATTAACTTATTCTAAAATTTGATGCTATTTTCGACATTTTTTGCTTTCATTCAATTAAATTTAAAAAAATGTAAAAATTATGGCGTTTTTGACTTTGTTGCAGTTGTAAATGTGATAGGCATACAATTTCAAGTCTTGGCTTTCATTAACAAATGTTCACCGGTTCTTAGTAAACCTATTTTATATCGTTTTGCCAGCGCAGATATTCGCTACCTTTTTTATACAGTTCTAAATAGTAAGACCAATTTACAGTTTGGAATGTATGGCAAACAATATAGGAAGTGTATTTATATAGGGTGTTTTCGTTATTTTTCTCTTATTTTTTTTGTATGGAAAATGTGCTTCGAATAAAATTAAGCTCGTACGGAATTTAATAAAATCGACATGTTTGGATAGAGAAGTGCCAAGGCAAATTCATAACTTATCTAAAGATTATTTAAAATACATTTTGCGTGATTTTTTTTAATTCAACACATTCTACCCATAAAATACTCAAGTTTTTGAAATAATAGAAAATTGGGAATTAAGTTATTCTTTTTTTTTGCATTACTCAAAAGACGTTCCTTGAAAAATAAAATGGAGAAAACAATTTCAGGTCTGTCCTCACTCTTGGCTTATTAATGAAAAAGTACCTTTGAACATGTCTAGTATTCAAAATGCATTGGCATTACTAATGCCCAGGACAAAATGGACGTGCGAAGTTGAATGTGAATGAATTTTTAATATTCCTGATTGTCGTTGAAATTTAAATAAATGTTACACGACTTGGACGATGTAATAGAAATTTGTCATTCTTGCCGACCTGTGGCCGACAGACAAATAGCGCCGCTGACACCCGCACAACGAATGTTTTAGTGGGCGGCAACTGTTATTTTTTCGTATCGTCACCAGCAAAGCAGTGGACGTTTAAATCTCGTTGCTGGCTTGTCACGCAGCACGTGAAGTGCAATGGAAGTGGCAACGTGGAGACATGGACTTTTTTGATTTTCCTGTGTGGGGGTGTGTGTTTCTGTGGTTATTTTTATTAAATCTATTTTCCAGCAGATGATTTGTTTGCTAATGGTGTGAACTAATACAAATGTTTTGTTGATATTTCCGACAGATTGTCTCTGTGGCGTGGAGTGCGGTAAAGAGACAGGTCGTGCTTGTTTTGTAGCGGTAGAACTGCGCCTAATTGCTGGCAATAAGTTTAATATATGGTTACGGGAATAAGGAATTATTACGAAGAAAGTCATGTCACTTTTAGTTGATGGACACTTTAAATAAAAAGTCCGACAAACAATTAAACAAGGGAAGATACAATGTAGGTGGTTGTGTTGGAAACACCCATGAAAATAAAACATTCTTCTATTAACGAATATTAAACATTGTCAGTGTCGAATCGGTATAAAATAAAGTGAAGGTACACAAGATGTGCATGGAAATGTATATCCATGACAGGAAAATTAGAAAACAACAAGGAAAAATGATTCCAAGCTTGAACATAGCGGTCGATTTTTCATCATAGTAAATATAGATAGAAAATATTCTTACAAAAAGTTGAGTTGTTTTCCTCGTATTAAACTTGAGCTCCGCAACCAGGATAAAAACATAAATGTTCCCATTAAAGTATTTATCATCAGTAATATGTATTTTGAAACACCACAATAAAAACAAAATGCGTCAAAATACATTTTTCCAAAATTACGGGAAAAATCTGTCTGATCAGATAATTCATAGAATTATGCTAAAGGTCTAAAATACAAAAACCAAACTCCAAAACTTACCAAAAATCCAAAAATTTGGGAAAAGAATTTTTTTAATTCGTCCTATGGTGTACGAAAAGTACTAAAATGTACAACAATTGGTACCATTTCGTATCATGTGAATGATTCGAACTAAAATATTGAAATTTAGAATGGGAGTCAAGGTCGAGGAGTAGAGTCGATGTAGGGAGGTAGTTTGGAATAAGTACTAAATTTAGTACAATTTTAATTTGGAGGAACGTATGTATCTGGAATCCTGAAATTTGAAATTAAAATTACTGGCGGAGTATATAATTGGGATATGAAGGAAGTTTTCGAAATTCGTACTTTACTTTGTACTTTAAATTTGGCACAATTTCGATTTGGGTGAACCGAAATTTGTAATAAATAAAGACATTTGTAAATAAGATTACTATTGCATTGTAGGACGGAGGTATTTAGTTGGAAATTCGTACATATGTGTACAAATGGTATTAAATTTTGTTGAGTTTTGTTGTTAAATCCTAAGAATATTCAGATTTTTTAAGATCAAATCCCAACGGAGACTTTGAACGTTTTTGAAGAAATGGACGCAAAAGATACTTTTAATGACTAGATGTAGGGTTTAATTGCTTCTCATAAATAGTCCCCGGATTTTCGTCCAGTAACATTGTATGTAGCCAGAATGCATAGATTCACACCGTTTTTAGGTACCTCTCGATGTAAAACACCGATACACCTGTCTGAAGCTTTACTTTCATAATCTATTCGGTTTTCCTTATAATCATTTTCTTGTTGTCGCATAGTGTTTGGTTGTGTTCCAGCTATTAAGCATCACTATGATTGGTCTTAAATAGCATTACAGTATGGTATCCATAATTGTAGTGTAGTTTTTATACCCTTTACAATAAGTTGATACCTATAATTCTAAATCGAATTGACATACGTTGCTGGGTATTTGGTAAAAGAGAAAGGCTATAAAACACATAGAAGAAGAAAAAAATATAATATATACAGGGTAGAATAGCTAGACATAGCATAAAAGGTAGGGTTTGATTTCGAGTCTCTTGAAGCTAAGATTTTTAATCTACACGATCGAATCATTTACATTAGATATGGTGACAACTTCAGCTTATACTACTATACCGATTATACTAAAATCTTAATTGCTTTACAAATATACCCTGTTTGCATGCAATAATTGCTACCAATCAACCTACATGAATAAACTAATAATTAACCTTGCAATACCCATTTGTTGGAATGTCAAAGTTGGCACCACATTTTTCCATGATTATCTGCAAGTAACTTGACCAAGGCATTTCTCAACATTCACTGCTATAAAAATCCTTACATTTCAGATTCTTTTATAGCCGGAAACAAGACGATTTGCCCTTTAACACAATCAGCAACACTTTATTTTGCAATTTCTTGGCAAAATCTAAACTAAAATACTTTCAT